GCATCAAGACCAACTAACTACTTCTACATTTGTAAAAATTGTTGATAATCACATTAATAGTTAATCTTAATTGTATGTTTAAATAATTAGGTAAAGTTATTGGTACATACCATAAGTAGGGCTATGGAATTTTTATTAATCTAAATTGGCAAATAATTTTTTTTTTTAATATGAGTGTCATTTTCATGGAATACTAAAAGATTCTTATATCGTAAAATATTAATTAAAAATTAACATAATTTCAAAAATAAGTGTAAAAATGAATAATTTTTTAAAACATTCATAGCCCTAAACATATGTTGTACCCTAGAGCATATACTGTAAAGTATGTTGAATGTTCATTCAATTTTTATTAATTTATCTAGGGTAGTGGACATGTTAAGTGTTAATATTTTTTTATTAGGTATGACCTTACCCAAATCTTGCAAAAATTTTCACTACGGAAATTTGTTCATGCTCTAGTAAAATTATTGATAACTAATGTGTTTATTGCCTTTGATAATTTAGTATTGAATTAATGTCCATTATTTGGTCTATTCACGCACAAGATAGTTTTAATATAAAATGCAAATCATACATTATACAAAAAATATATCCCAGAATACCTTATAATTATAAATGGAAAGACGTGTAGGCACAATGTACAACGGACTCTTGGCCAATAACCCTGCATCAGAAAAAAAAGGACTCACTTCCTCGATGAACAAAATATTGTAATACCAGTATGATATAAGTTATTTGTCATGTCACTTAATTTGTGCAATTAAAATAACTTACCTACTCTATTATTTTTTAGTATACATAGATTGATTTGTAATTATTTATTTTTAATCAAAAGAAAACTTTAAATGAGAGGGACATAGTAAAAATATATAATTAAAAAAAAAAAAGAAATGTGTAAATAGATCATTAACTACTTTAGTCTTAGCTCTATACCCCGAATCCTAGTATATACTATGTCATATACATTTATATCTGCATATTTATTAATTATTTTTTTAAATACATAGGAATTGTTGGTTTACTTTGTTTTAAAATGAAAAAATGTTAATTGTTTAATATAATCATTTACTATAGTAATTAAAATACAACATATTGTTTTTAAAAAAAATATTTATTTTATAATTTACTAATTATAACTCATCAATCTAATATAAAAATATAAATTATATTAAATAAATAAATATGTATTCATAGGCGGCTCTACGGGGTGTGACTTGCCATACCCTAATGTGAATAATATGCATAAGAAAATTGAATAACTAATGTTAAGAATATATGTGCATACACATTAATTAAATTTTAGTTTTTTGTAAGTAATACTGCAGAAGGGCGGCGAAGTGGAAATTCGTTCCCCATGTCTTGTATTTTTTTTGAATATAATACATAGATTTATTTAAAAAATTTAATGTATAAATAATTAAGAATATAAATTACTAGTCTATCACTATAGTATGATAATAAATCCAATAATATAATTTGTCAATTAAGTCTTAGGTATCATTTTTGTTTATCTTCTTATATCTTAACATTTTTGGTTGTGGAACGAATAGTGGTATTATCTTCCACGGATATTGTTACGGTTATAGACATTTACAACCATAACTGAGGTATTAATAAGATAATGTAAAGTAACACTTATTTTACAACATATTTACTAGTTAGTCATTTTTTGGTGCATTTATGCATATTGTATATTTTTGTATTAATTAGAGCTATATAAGTCCTTAATAATTTTACTCATCTAATTTTTTTTTACAACATAACATCTGGTACTTTTTGTTGTGCATAGGTACTTAGTCATTTTTTTGTGAACACATGCATGCATATTTGTATATTTTATAGAGTTAGAAGTTCCTAACCCAAATAATAATCATAATAACTGACAATATGCCAAAATGAAAAAAATAAATTTGGAATTTGTTATTTGACTACTTACCAACCTTTTGTTTTCTACTTAGATACTTGTTAAATTAAGTTACCTATCTTAATTGTTTTTAAAGTTTTTAAAAAATAAATAATAGGTACTATTACTACTATGATAATTTGTTGTTTTTTTATACAGGATTCAGACTGAAGGTACAATTTTAATATAAGAACTATTTGTGTTTTTATTATTAATACTTATTTTATGTGCAGTAGGTTTTAAATACATTTATTTAGAGATGTTAAAATACGGTATTTTATTTATTTTTTGTATAATACCGTATTATACCAGTATTATATCTTATAGTACCTTGCAGTACCTTAAATTATAAGGAATTCAACAAAGCTCATTGTTAATTATGAAATATAAATTATTTTAAAATGGAATAATTGAAAAAAATGGCTAAAAAGTTAGATAAAATTAAAAAAAAACATAATACAAAAATTATTCACCAAATTAATATTTAGTCATGTTATCGATTTGCAATTATGGTATAGGTAACATACGTATATATTATTTACATAGAAATACATATTTTTCAAATAGGAATAAAGAGACTTGCTTACTACTTTTATAGTTATATACTATCTCATTGTACTAATTATTTATATTAAAAAAAACAGTATAAATTTAACATGGTTTATACATTATATGTATATTATATAATCTATAAAATTTGAAGATAATAAGAAATTAAAATACATTGTACACTATTTACTATTAAACCATTGAGTATGCAGAAATTTCAATGGGGGTTTTGACCCGAATCCCCCCCCTGGGTATGCCACTGTAATGAACTGTAAATTATTTTTAAGTTTGTATTGAAGAAAAATTAGTTTCGCCCCCCTGGCCTCAACTCAAATACGCCCTTGATACTGTAAGTGATCAGAATAAGTCTGAAATAATAATTACGTATATTTTTTACCAATCGTTATTTTACATCATTAACGAAGCCTTTAGTTTTAGATTTTAAATCATAACACGGTCTACACATACATGTTTATAGCATCCCCCTTACATTTTTAAAAAATAACTAAAAAAGGACAGGGCACACTCAAATGTAAAACTCTGGGTCCGCCTATGAATGTATTTGCATGATCAACAACTAATAAAGGCTTAAATAAATTAACAAATTATACAACATATCTTATTGAATATAAAACAAGCATAATATGTATAAACTATAAAATATTGGTTTTTTCAAACTGACAATTTTTGATATCTCTACCATAACACAGAATTGATTGAGTGATAAATATGACCATTGATTATGGAGAGTACTATCCATAATCAATGATATGAAATATTTCACACAAAAAATATAATTATATCTATTTCCTAAATTTAACCAATGGTACATTAATTTCAAACATATAAGAACAATAGTCACCTATTCTTGTATCTCATATTTTTTAATACAGTGGATCTATATAATATCAAATTAAATTAGAAGCTACCAAGACTTAAATATGATATTGCCTGAAACTTGAAAATCAATATCCTCATAACTATGTACATTTTAAGGGATTTGAATAGGCAACTTTTTAGTTACATTGCGTATCATATGTAAAACAAATGTGTATTGTGTAATCTACATGGTCGTCAGCGACGGCGATTTATGAACGACGATCCTGCAATACAATGACAATATCATATAAACATAATCATTTATTAATAAACAGTAACGTCGGTAACTGTAAGTCACTAACTATAAGAGTCCGGATAATAAACTATAAGCCTAGCAAACATTTAGATACTTGTGATTCGATTATAAAAATTTAAAAATGTTTGAACTCGGGAACTAATTTTCTTTCTTTGGTTAGGACTTTGGACATATTTTTATTTATTGACAATCATTATTTAATTTATTTAATAGAGTTAAGTACTTAATGTACGCAAATCACTCAAGAGTTTTGATACTTAAGAAAAAAGTGTACAGCACAGGATCACATCAGCTCCAAAAGTGGTTTTAAACAGAAAAGCCTACCTCCGATCCCAACTTAAATACTAAAATGTAAGGTGCAATTTTTTCTCTACCAATAATAGGAAGATTTAACTGGTGAACATATCCTACAGTAAAATAAAATGATTGGTAAGATTTACGTCAACTATTTTTTATGAGAAAATTCAAAATACACCCAAAATGTTGGCAGAATTATTCTTCTCGAATTGTTCACAAATATGTAAGAATAGAATACGTCATCAACACCACGTCGAGTACTGGAGCATGTCAACACTTTGTTTTGGACTTACTACTATCGTTCATAAACGGATTAATTTTAATTGTGGATCGACGCGGGTTAATTTATCTGTATCCGTCCGTCGTGTCAAAGTTTCTAATCGAAAATCTCGTAATTGGTGACCAATAGCCAAACGCTGTACCCACCGAATGCCCGATAATGACGTTCGACAGGTCAAACCAAAGCGAACGGTAAGCCAAACGCGCCCTAAACATTGATCGGGTCCAATCGGTGGTTAGCAACCGCAGAGGACGCCGAGCGGTTACGACCCGTACGTTGCCCAGGTCGGTGTGTCCGGCAACCGCTAGGCTTGCACCAGCGCACGGTACATTTTTCGCGCCGACCAGCGGATCCGGTATCTAGGGCCGTGCCGGGACGATGGTTCTCGCGCTGCGACACCGACCGCTACGGTGCACCGTTAAGCTTGCCGTACACGGTCCGGTTTGCCGGAGAGGTCGGACTGCGCAATTTAACCTGCACTGTTTTCCCCGATCGCGGCGACGCGATTTCACACACGCTCCGGTTCACCTGTACAGTTATGACTGCACGGGACAAAAGAATGGTTTTTCGATTATTTTCCGACCGTCTGTACAGTCCCCGAAAACTACGTGTACTTATCACATGCGCGTTCCGGAAAAACTATGCAGTCTGACAACTCCGGCGAACCCGATCGTGTATGGCTTTACGCGACGTCCCTTCGGTCGACCATAACCAAGGGTCCGCGTTACGGAACAAATACCATAGACAATCCGTCGCCGGAGTCTGCCGCCCGCACCAGAACGTATGAGCGAACACCGCGTGACTTACGTATAAAAACATAAAATTCCACTCACCGTTAAAACAGGAGTCGAAACCTTTTGCGGAAATTTCCGCGTCCGTCCGTCGGCGGTCCAACTTTACCGCCGTTGTTGTCGTTGTCGCCGTTCGCCGCGTCTCAGACGACCGCGACTCGTCGCAGCGGGTCCGGTGAACCCGAACGATCGCGGCGGCGGTGACGGTAGCCGCGCAAGTCCCGCAGCCGCTGGTGGCCGTCGGAAGCGTACCGTCGTGAGTGGGCGAGGCACCGGACGACGCAGCACAGCCCGCAGAAGCCGCACAGCAGAAGGTGCGCGGAGAAGAACCAGTAGTACACGTCGATGGCCACCGTCGCGATCCTGTGAACCAAAGCAGCCGCCGCAACGCAACACCGACCAAGCACAGTAATCGTGATCAGCGCCGCGTTATCGACGCCGACGGTACTGCGGCCCGACCGACCGATGATAGCGGGTGGGTGGGTCGATTAGCGATACCGACGATACGCCGACGTGATAACGTGCTCGTATCCGACGGTGGTGGTGCCGTGCCGGAGAGACGGTTAGCGACGCACGGACACCGACGACGTTATCAGTGTTACACCGATAACGATTTATGATAACCGAGGTATCACGTACGACGCGTGCCGGTGCCGTTTTTTTTCTCGCCCGCACCAGTGCATCTGCGGCGATGTCTCGTCACCGGGCCCGGGGACTCGAAGCGTTCGCCCGGGACGAGACCCTTTCGGTGAGTCCGCCCTCCGCCCGCAGTCTCTGCATGTGCATACCCGCACCTCGTCCCCGATCGAAATCCCGCCTTCGAACGTTGTTCTCGCACGTCCGGGGTCTGTCGTCGTTATTTTACTTTTACATTTTCCCCCCTTTCTGTTCGTCGGACACTTCTCAACTTAACAGTACTGTTATTGTGACGTTTTTCTTCCAAAGCCCTATCTAGGATTTATTAAATACCGTTCCGCAGATATTGATCAATATTTAGGCAAATAATTACAATCAAACAAACTTCGATGATCATGTTTATGGATCAGTTTACCAGTTGTATATTATTTGCGAGACCCAGGACGAAAATATTTGTACCGCCTTTTAGTCATTATTTCTACCTACGATATAACCAGATAAGGACATCTATAACTTTTATCACACAAACAATTTGTTAGGACTTTAGTGAGGTCACTAATTATAGTTAAAACTAAGGGGTAGTCTTTTAAATATAATAATCTTGGTAAAGAAAATAAAATAATTTTACATTACCTATACTTAAATAACATGTTTTTTTATTTATCCATCTATAAATCATAAATTTTTACTTTAACTGAATTGTACTTCTACATTTTCAACATTAAAATCCTCACTATCATTCAATTGGAAGTTTGCATTTATCTGACTATCAATTCTACCACCCTTGGCTATAGTATAATTTTGGTATTTTTTAAAAAAATTGAAAAGAGAGATTTTTTGAAGTTCATGTTGACGTTCTTTAATAATTTTATGTTTTCGTTTTTCTACACTACTTTTAAATTTTCGATATTGATCACGTAATCGATTATTCATTATAATATTATTGTATTAGTAACTATATCCGATTTAAACAGCAAATGAACAATAAATCTTGTGATGATATGAAATAGCAACTGCTATTGTTACTGGAAAAAAAAATCATAGTTATTCATTCGACAAAAATGTCGGACGGTGGTCACTACCCACATAACCACCGCTAATATGTTACAATTACAGTAATGTTATTATTGGACATTTTAATGTTTTTACGTTGAATCTACTTCGTTATTTTGATATTTACTAATTATATAAAACATACAATTTAAATGCGATGAAAATAAACCAATTTGATTACTTTTTTCAAACGCGAAGTCCCAAATTTAAGCTATAACAATAATAGTCATCAAGCTGTTACTAATCAATTTTAATTTAAGTTTAATATATTTTATTAGAAACTAAAAAATGTTTTTTTCTTATTACGCTCAAATTTGTTAAGATTCCCATTAAATTCCGATTCTATTTGAGTTTATAAATCCGTCAATGATTCTGTGCAATTAAACATTGTGAATAAACAGTGAGATTCTGCTATATGATTTATTACAGGCAATATATATACTATATACTGGTAGTATACATTTAAAAAGACAGAGTAGATATTCTGAAGCGTACAGCAACAATAATAATAAGTAAACAATTTATGTATTTGAAAATAATAATATTATACTCGAAATCAATCTTCCTTATCATAAGTTTCAAAATTAAAACAATCTTCTGCATTTTTAAGTCTGCATATATATTGTGGGTACTGTACAATTATACCATTAATTATTAATTAATTTTGACTTTGTATGACTTTTTTTTAGTAACAAAGGACTACATTTTATGTTATATGATTCTTAAAATATAATTTACTATTTATTAATTTTTAATCTTATTTTATTGTGTAATAGGTTAATGATAAAATGATATTTGATAGTTGATAATATTAATGAAATTTAAGTACCTACCATAGTTCACAGAATTGTTTATGAAAAGCTACATTTTATCATTTATTTTTCAAAGCATATACCTCACTCAGTACAAACAATTGTAATATTAGCTTTAATACTATTATACAATGGTAATATAATAAACATTTTAATTATCAAATTATGATATGCTGTTAAATATTTAATAACGAAAAAACATAAAAAACAAAATAAAACACAAAGAATATATTTTATTTTATTAATGGCTATTAATTAATAAATAAAATAACAAGTACTAATGAAGTGATGTAATAAAATTGTAATTTATATTAGAAAATCATACAAAAATTTAAAATGTATTTAAAAATTTAAAAAACAATATAGAATAGAACAAAAATCTTTACAATGTATAATACAAATAATAATTTGATATTTTATCATTTCATACTAGAAATACAAATTATCGAAATATATTAACAATATTTTTAATTTGTCATTTGATGATCAAATTTTTGTTAAATAAAATGAAAATATAAATTTATGAAAGTACAAAAAAAAAATGTACAATCGTAAAAAATTAAAAGTTTATGATTAACTATTATTCAAATTTAATCCAAAACCGATTATTTTTATAAATGTTTATAATATTTTTTTATACCTAAATTAACGATTTTTTTATCGCTAGGATAATTTTTTAAAACCGTATTATAAATTAAACTGATAAATTTAAATATTTAAATAATATGAATACAGTTCTAAAACATTAAAACCAATTACTTTATCCACCTTTGGCATGAGTCATTCTTATGCAGTTTTATAACATACTATATTTTATAACTAGTACAATTATACGTCTAATTTGTGTATACAAACAAAATAATGATTAATATTAACGATTACCTCATACTTGTATCAATTGTCTATAACTTTGTTTAGTTCTTTATTAAAATTATAAACATTTAATAAAAATATGAGATAATCTTACAATTTATAACTATTATTATTATTTTATAACTTAAAAAAATTAATTATAAATGGATGAATAGTAAATTTAATCATAATATGTTTTTAATTATCACTGAAAATTAGATTAAAATGAAATTAAAAAAAAATCTTATTAGGTTTTAAATATTTTTTATCATACCTATTAATAATAATTATAATCATAAACTTATATTTTCCTACAACAGTAGTCTAGTACAAATTATATAATAAATATTTATATGAAATATTCGATATTTTTAAAAGTGCTAATATAAACAAGATTTAACTAACTATTGATTTGTAAATAAATTTTAAATTTTCACTTAATTATAAAATAATCTAACTATTGATGGTAAGTAGTAAGAGCTAAGATCACTAAGTTCACTATGGTAATGAAATATAATATATAACTAAAATATTGTATGCAATATAAATAAAAAAAAAAAATACAAAAATATGTTAAAATATGCAAAATTATTTTTTTTACAATTATCAAACTTCTCGTTTTCGAGTAAAAATATATATAAGCTAATTGTAACTTCTACGATTATTTCGAAGCAAACTTTTGTATTTTAAAACCCTTTCCACGTCACTACCCACAATTGGTGCATATTCAAAACTAAGAAAATCTTCAACTGACAATTGTTCGTTTTTGTCACATTCCGTTAATTCATCATTATATATCAATATATCAATGAATTTTTAACAAAACATTTGCATGTTCGGATCGAATGAAATTTATACCTGACCCTTCTTCTTCGAACTTATTTTTAATATTTTATATGAGAAATAAACTATCTCTTAAAGTAAAATTCGACTTCTTTAGTTTTCTTATTGTATTCATAAGACATTTAAAGTTTGATGTATTAACGGCGAACTATTTTTTCAATTCTTTATTATGAAATAAACAACGAACGTTTTCAATACACTTCGATTCGTTTTGGTTCAAAACGGTAATAACATTTTATCTCATTGAAAAATTGCCCATAGTAGCTGCTTAAAGTCGTGTACCCCGAGTTAATATATATAGGTAAATTTACCACTAGAAAATTCAATATTTTTCGTCATTCGCCGATAGCTTATCAATGTACATTATGAGTAATTTACGATCAACAGTACGTATTTGTACAGACGTAATAAGTATTACTATTTTAATAGATAACGATAGAATCATAATGATCGTTATTATTATTATAATTGTGAAAATATGAAAAAAATAAAATCTAACCATTACGGAACGTCAACATTTGAAATCAAAATTATTGTTGATGAATTGTTAAAGTGTATTCGTTTACATACAACTCCGGGCCCTATTTATTAGTTTTTAATCGGTATAATATTTAGAATTTTAACAATATTATTGATCAGCAAGCGAGTTAATTAAATCTATATTAGTAGGTCGTGAGCACCGAGTGTTGATAATATTAATTTATTTTTCGCGTTCAAAACAATTAGATATTATGTTCGTATTTTTATTTCGAGATTCGTAACGTGTTGTCAAACAACGGACGGTACACTTTACTCAGTGCTATCAATGAAACAGTAGGTAGTGTTATGTTTTGGTATCCATAGCAGTCGGCAAAACTCGTTATGAAAAAAAATCAAATCAAAACATAACGCGACAGCACTGAACTGCGAAAAAAATTTGAAAACGAAAAATTTCGGGCTCAAAATTGTCGGCCGTTTTCGTCGAACGTACGAACGCGATTCGAGGAGGAACCGAGTTCGCCGGCGCAGCGTCGTCGCCGCGTAATTCGAAGACGTCGGATCCACCTCCACGTAACGCCGCAGAACCTCCACGGAGGCGCGGGCGACGACCGTTACAAAAACGACCGTTGTAGTCGGCGGCTGCGCCGTGTCCGCCCCTCCACCGCGCCTGCACCATCGTACCCCCGCCATCCCACGCCGCCGATAACATTTCAAACGTAACGATCTCTTTCCACTGCTATCGCCGTCACCCGTGTTGTCAACGCCGACTCTTACGCGCACGTACGATTCTTTTGTGTGCACCCGAGTTCCCGCTCGAATTCCCAGTGTTGACTGAGACTGTCTCTACGCGTTTCCGCGACATTGTTTTCCACGTTCAAACAAAACCATTTCGCGTAATCGACCGCTGCGCCCGGTCAACGGTTTGGTTCTACTGCCGCCGCCGCTGATATTTCGGTGAACTCGAGGGTGAACTTCTCGAGTCGATCAACCGTCGCTGTTACAATGGACTTCGACGAATTCGCAAAGGTAAATATGACCGTTGTGATTATCGTACTATTACATCATCACGGAGCGACGTTTCAACTGTACTCTGCAATGCTCGCGCTCATCATTTCGATCGACCATCGACAACATGGTTTTCGCCCGTAACTACTAGATACCTATAATTTATACCCAATTGTTTGACCATCGACGTATTTTATCGAACCTTAATTTAATGCGGTGACTATTGTTTTATGGCATAGAGTTATTCCGTTTTGGACTCCGCACTTAGTCGGTTCATTTTTCTTAAAATTGTGACCGCACCTGTTACGATTTGCTTTCAGGACAGGTTTCCATTTCTCTTACATTTGGGGTGGGCTTGTGCAGCCCATTATCTAGTACTTATATCTTATCCGGTGTTGGCAATTAATCTCATAATTGCTTATTACTGAAGTTGTTAAATTTATGAACTATAAAATTTAAAGTGATGCATTTAAAATGTAAACAAATGAGTTCTAAAAGAAATTAAAAACACATAATAGTACTTGATACCACCAATTAAATGTATAATATTAGTGTTAAAAAACAATTTTATTCAATACTTTATTCTTAGAGCACAAGTAACCTGTTGACTCTTCAGATATGATTACATAAAATTAAATGTTTGCTAATAATTTTCTAAATTTCAATTCAACATTAAATTTTATACTTTTAAAAAAGTTAATAATAAGTTCTTATCATTGTATTACCAGTTTATCAATAGTCAGTAATATAATGTATTTAAAAAGATCATAATATTTTTTTTAAATATGTTTAGTAGTAATCTGTGAATAGGGAAAATATTTTATTCAATTATTAAATAGGTAACTTTAAGAAATTATACTCGGAATTATATGAGTTATTTGATCGGAGTTTTATAAGTATAAAATTATCAATTGTTTAATAATTTATCATAAATAAGAATTAATTGCATATTTTAAAATTTATAAAAAATATATATTAGTACTGTCGCGTTTTTCTTTGCATTTTTCCATTTGTCTAACAACATATTAATTTAAAAGTAAATTTCAGTGTATAATATATAACATTAAATTAGTAAATTGTGTGCAATTACTGAATTTTGTGATTGTAATGTTGTTTTGTATATCCATATTTTAGACAAATATTATTTAATTGTTCTTTAATTATTCAAGTATAGCAAAACCATGACAAAATCTATTTTGCCATAAACTAATGATTGTTTTTGTAACAATTTTTTCTTTATATTTAAACTAATAACTTATGTATAGTTTTACATATTAAAAGTACTTAATCATATTTGACCTTAAATAATAGGTAATACATGCCAAACACATGTATTTATTTATTTATTTGGGGCCATTTAGACTCATCGTCTTTCCCACTATGCCTTGTCATATTTTTCTATTCGATCTATTCAACCTTTCTTCATCCGTGATTCTTAGGAGCATCAGATCTTCTTTAACATGGTCACACTACCGCTGTCTTGGTCGTCCTCTTAGTCTAATTTTATCTGATTTCTAAATTGTGACCTTGTTTACTATTATATAATTTGCTGTTCTCCATATTTGTCCTGCTCAACTAAATCTTCAGCTTTTTAGAATATCTACTTAATCAGATTTATTAAATAATTCTTTAAATCCTGCGTTTGTTCTTTGATCATATTCATGCCAACACAAGTATATATTTATATATAATATACATCAGATTAAGTATCGCAACTAGTTATCACTAGGGTTCAGATTTGAAGGTAATATTATCAACAAAAGAAAGCATTTAATTTATATAAAAAAACAATTAAAAAAAATTATTTTGAAATTAAATTAACTATCTAGTTAGTATTGAAAAAAAATTCTCTATCATATTCTTAGATAAGCTATCTTCAGTAAAACATTGAAGGTTTAGGCTTAAAATATTTTGTACCTAGAGAATTGGTTTTTTGACATCCACCGAAGTTATTGGGGAATACTTCATACATAAATAATTATCTAATTTAAGATTACTAATAATTTAAAACATAACATCGACAATGCACTGTCTTTACAAGCTCTTATCGATTTGTACTGATGATACCTAAGCTGTGTAAAAAATTATTAAATCTATTAAAAATTACACACAAAAAAGATATTTATAAGTACAAAAGACAAAAAAAAAAAATACATTCATTGTTTTTGATATTAAATGAAACACATTTTAATTTAAAAATTATTTTTCTATTATTATTATTAAAAAAAACTGCTTTTTTTCTTCAAATCCAAACCTTAGTTATCACACTTTATACATCTATATATTTTAATTCTTGTTATTTGTATTTTAGCGCATGATTGAAAGAACCAACAGGCGAAAAGCCTTATTACAGGAGACTTCAGTAGATACTCTGCCTTCAACAGATGTTCCGCCTTCAACAGATAAAGAAATCTTGCCACCAATACATCAATCAAAAACTCCACCTTTACGCTCTGATCGACGTGCTCGTCTTGCTGAACTAGCTAGTCGTGTAGGCCAGTGGTTAGAAGATGAAGTGAAACCTCATGATCCAAAACCTATTAATAATGAATTTACTCCTACAGTAATTATGATACAATTTATATATATTATTATTATTATTTTTAATTATAAAAAGGTACATGAAGTGAAAATATTTTGAAGTAGAAGTGACATTTATATTTTTTTATAATGTTATTAATAGAGATATATTTAAGAAATTTGTAATAACTATAGACTATTTTATTAAATATAATAATGTTAATTAAATACATTTACTAAGCATATGAATCTGATTAATAAATTATATGTATTCAATCTTAGTTATTTTAAATAATTGTCAGATTTAAATAATTACATTTATTTCTTTTTTATATATAAATGAATCAATTAATTCCTTCTGTTTTATACAAATTTATAGTTAAACTATTATCTGTACTTCGCTCATTTTGACTTTTTGGTTAATATAAAATTGCCATTTGAAAATATTAGAAAAAAAAATGAAGATGTTTAATTTTTAATAATTCAAAACTTTTACAATCATGTTTTAAAAATGCAATTTGTATATTCAATTTATTGCATGGTTTAACATGTTAAGAAAAAATCATTTTGGTTTTTTTAGATTGATATGAGTATTAACCATGGTCCACAACAATCCGTTCAAAAACTTATGAATGTGAATTCCATTGACAAAACTGCAGTTACTGAAATAAAATCTATGGAGGATAAATTAGTAATATACATAGAATATTATTTGTTTTTACTATTGTAATCATTATATGTTGGTTATAAAATTGTAAAATTGTAATTTTTATTTGTAGATAAAGAAAAATGAATCAATTAACGAAGAACATCATCAGCCCATAAAACCAAAAATAAATTCAAGTAAATTGGATCAAATTTGCCATCGTCCACAATCTTCTATTATTAAGCCCCTGCCGAATAAAGATTTAGCTAATATTTCAACTACAAATTTAACAGTAGCTCAACGACGAGCATTATTTGAAAAAAATATTGCTAGTAATCAAAAACCAGATAAAAAACCTGTTACTACTACTACTGTCACCATATCATTAACCAAAACAACACCTAAAATAACTAATACTACAACAAATGAAGTATCAAATGATTCTGAAGATGTGAAAACTCCACCACGTCCTATTCCAAGCAGTGAATCAACTCCTCCATCTAGACGTGGATCAAGACCACGAGCTAGTCCTGCTATGGTTGCCACATCTGGTGATTTTGTATCACAGCAACGATCGACTTGGACTCCGCCATGTATAAAAAATGTGTTATTAAAAAAAAAATTAATTGAAGAATTAAACGACGATCAAATTTCCCATGATAACAAGACCACTTCAGTACCAGCTACTAGCAGTCCCATCAATACAAATATAATTTCACCAGCAGGTAATACACTATTAATAAAAAAAAAAAAATTAAAGTAATCTAGCTCTAATTATTATTCTGCATGTTTTTGTTAATATCTTTAAAACAGTGATAAATATATTTATAAAGTACAATATAAACCAATACATTTTTTTTTAAGTTGCTCATCATACTATTTAAAGTAAGGTATTTAATTAAATAATACTTATTTTACAGATCGTATAGCTATGTCGGTGGGACATGTACGGATCATGCCACCTTCACCTTCTGGTGGCTTATATCCGGACTTATCATTGATTGAAGATAATGATATGAGTGAAATTAATGTACCTAAAGATTCATTGGAAAATCAGTTAACTGGTTGCAAGGTAATATTCCTATTTTTATTCTGTATAGAATATCTAAATAATTTTTTTAATCTTGAGTATAGAGACGAAGCAATGGTGTCAATACTTTAAATGTTTCTACTGCTTCCTCTGAATTTGATGCTGGAGATCCTGAAGATCTTGATAATCTTAATGCGAAACGTCCTCGGTGTGAATCAAAAAAGGTAGATGCTAATAATATGGCTGAAAAACAAGATAGTAGTGATGAGGTAATTATGACAGTTATATTTGTCTTTTATGAGTGGAAATGCATAACATGTGTTATTAAGTATATTTAATTGTATTATTTTCAGGAAAGCATATCTGCATCAGGAGTTATTACCACCACTTCTGGCATAGCAAACCATTCTGAATCATTACTGTCAAGTCATGCTGCTGACAGCCCTTTGTCGCAAACTTGTACAAGTTTCACATATCATTCTCATAATGATAATTTTTCTCGTTCGTTTGGTCCAAATACAGCCAATGGGGTTGCAAATTTGCAGACCAATGAGCCATTAAATCAGAGAGGACTACAGCTCATTGATAAATATATTCCACATCTTGTTGAACAAGAAAATTGTCATTCTGATGTAAATTTATCTGATAATGATAAACCCAGCAGCAGCAGCAGTAGTAATAGCTGTGTGCAGCCATCACTTGTACATACAATTAGCACATATCGCAAACAACAACAACAGCTTCGATTAGGTTGCACATCTGGCAAGGTATATTTATTAAAATAATTGATTTTAGTAGATCTGGGTATTCTGTACAGCATGTCTGAGTAAATAGTTAATAATATTTTTAAATTTCAATTTATACTACAATATTAGATTTTCAAAATATTTGTTTTAGGGTTTATTTTCTGAATTTTTTGGTTGGTATTCCTAAGATTGCATTAATTTATTTTGATTTTAGTTATTCTATTTTTCTAAAACGATTAAGTGTTCAATAATAGTTGAGGCAAATCGGTAGTATTCTCTTAATTATATCTATATATTGCTAAAAAATTAATTTAATATACTTAGTCGATTGTTCTTAATTTTAACAAATGCTATTACAAATTGCATGATAGAAAATTTATATCACGAATATATTTTATATGTATATACTTTTGATACAGTTTATATATATATATATAATTGATAAAATTAAGAATAAACAATAAACCATTATAAACCAATTAGGGGACGGACATTCCAAAACTGACATATTTATTTTTTTGCTGTGTATCTAGAACTTATATATTGCTGATTAATGAACAAATATTAAAAATATTTCTGTTAGTTTTGAGCTCACTAATCTCTTTAGTGTGTATACATAATTTATGCATTCGTTTTGAATGTGTTAATTCATTATTAATATATAATTTTTTTTTTTTGCAACAGGGTCGAGATACTGAAAATAAAGAAGGTGTAAGATCTGTGTTGCTCTGGAAACGATTGAAAGAGCTGGATGAAGCAAATTCGAAGAATGAAAATAGTGAAGATGACAACGAAGAAGAAGACAATGAGGAAGAAATGGAAATGGCTGAATCAAGAGCAAGACACTTGGAACAAGTAGAAGTACCACAACAAGACCGTATTATTGAGCAAGCCACCCAAGCTCTAAACTTCTGCTACTCATCTAGGAATGCAATCGGACAACGGCCAACGGTGGATAGTAAATTTGAGTATGAGTATGTGCACACCGAGCGAATTTTATTATTAGCGGGTAAGTTACTAATATTAGAAACAATATATGATTTCAATAACTATAAAAAGAAGTAATTTTCATTTTATATGTTAGTACTAATTTCTTATTAATTATGATTATAATTATTATAATATTTTTAGAAACGTATGTAATATAATACTTGTATGATTTTTTTTTTATATTTCTTAAAAGAACTAATTTAATATTAATAACATTAATTAATTTTTTTTAGATTTATTTCTATTTAAATGTTGATTTTTAAATAGTGTAAAAAAAAATTAATAATAAATTGTGTATCAAAATTATTTAAACACCAACAATTCAAAATTAAATCAGTTTTGATCAAAGATAAATTAAATTAATGATTTTTGATAACTTGGGCTGCATTGTACCATTTATTTAGAAAAAAACTCACTCGATAGTCCATACTATTTAATATTTATTTATTATTGACATTTTATAAAATATGCCATTTTCTATATAATTTAATTTTATATTATAAAAAGACGTATCTTATGTTGGTCTATTTTACCAGTACATTTTTATAATTATAGGTTTGAGACGAACAGATGCAGTTAGAGAAGCTCAACGTCTACATGTCGAACGCACTTTAGTACCAGGTAGCATTGGAAGAAAAAATGTTAAAAATCTGGAAAATCGAGGTGACGGTAAAACATTGGTTATTGAGAGCCTTCGCGTTCCTATATTGATGGCTTTAACCAGTGGTGGAAATTACAAAAATAAAAAGTGTAATACTAATGAAAGAATAGAAAACATGACTAGATGGTCTGGAGGATACAGGTATTTTGTGTGTGCTATACGTGCTGCAGCTACAGTACAAAGGCCAACTATGACAGCTGTCACACAACCTGTTGATGTGGTCGAAGAATCAGTTCGACGATTTTCTGCAGACATTATCACTCGTCATGGTGATGATGAAATTGGTCATGGATATGTAGACTTCATAACTAATAAGCCAGTTATGGTTCACGGCTTGGATGAAGAGGGTTGGAAAATAACCATTGAGCTGTACGGTCTTTCCTCAACGGAAACTGGAGGACTTAATTATCATAATGGTAGAAATATTAAAGAAAATGATTACCAAGAAAATAGCAAAAGCGTGTTGGTTAGTACAGTTAATTAGTAAATATACAGTATATAACAATAGGAGTCTATTACATAATATTATTAACTATATCAGACATCACATAACAATACTATTTTATTCATTTATGATAATCATTTAATTTACAATTGTATATTTATAAATACTTTTTTAAACATAATTTGTTTTATTATTTATTATAAAATCAGCACATATATTTTTAGTAATGAATTTAATGATAACATTGATTGTATATATGTTGTGTATATCCTATTCGGTGATGTTTTGAAAATTATATCTCATAATATACAAAATAATTATCCTTGCGTTAATCAAAATATAATAATATTTTGATCCAATTTTTATAATTTTTATGTATATCTAACATTGAAATATGAATACAAAGTTAATCACATTTTTTGTCTGTGAAGTAGAAATACAAATATTTTTTTAAACATGTGAATTTAATAAGTGTAACTTATTTGATTATTTCCTGACAGGATAAATTGTGGTCAACTGTTACAACACCAATCAAGGAATCTAAAAAACACCATGTCACTACTACTGCTGCAAATATAGAATCTCCAAGTGGATCAATGGCTGTGCGAAATACTGTATTCCGTCAACTTGGTTATTTTGTGTTTTCTGATGGGCAGGTGAACCGCCAGCAGTTTACATTAAACAAGGTTTGTTTTAGAATTTACTATATTTATTTATTAATTAGTGTATTCATTTTTTATTACTGTTTTTTATAGGTCCATCAATCTGGTAGTGTCCCTAGCTCTTCTAGAGCAGCAACATCATCGATGGAAGAAACAGTTCGTATACGTATGCGTCTTCTTGAAGAAGGTGAAAAATATATCTGCAAAGATGATGAAGATGGTATGAATTTAGGCAGCAAGTCTTCAAGCAGTAATAATGCTTCAGTTATGACAAGAAAACAATTGACTTTACCATCAGAGTGTAAATGTACAGAAGGATTTTTAACACTGTTCGATGATCATGAACTCAAAACAAGTGCTATGTTTGAACGAGGTCGGCAGTGGCAACAGTCTGCCTACAATGGAGGTATTTCTTCATGGCGTCGTCTTTGGTTCAGTGTGAAAATCATAGATGAATTGGAACAATCTGAAGCTAATGACAATGATATTAATGATACGTTTAAACAAAAAACTATCGCACTGCAATATTGGAAGTATCCTGAGCATGCTGAACAACAACAAGAGGTATGTTAATTAATATTTAATTGAATTATTATAAAAAAGCTTTTTTTAGTAGTTTTAGTTTTTAATTTGGAAATATGTTTATACATATGCTTTTGAATTAGTTTTTGTTTTAAAACTCACTTAATTTTATTAAACAAATTCTAATCAATGGTTACAAAATTAATACATATATTATCATACACAATAATAATAATACACAAATTAATAAACATCAATAAACATTTTTAATAATTATTAATATTTTATTTTAATGTTATACAGCCATTAGGTGTTATCAATCTTGGTCAATGTTTGCCACCATCTACAATTGAAAATACTGTTGCCACTTTGGGACAATTGCAAAATCCTATCCCTGCTGCCCCGGCTAACAGTGATTTATGTGCTCGTCCTAATACTTTACGATTGATTTTGTACAATGATAATTATTGTAATGGCATGAAACCCAATGTTGATGACCCAGTGCTTTTGGGTGCTGATACTGCAGATGAGCGGCAAGAATGGTGTGATACGGTGAATGCAGCAGTACGAGCTATCAGCGATTATCGTGAACAAATTAAAATTTCCAAAGCTAATCAATTAAAAATAAATCAAAAACAAAAAAAAATTGAAGAACAGCAGAGTCGACTTCAAGACCCACAGAGAATTGGTGCATGGCCTATAACATCTAATAGCAAAAACAGCTATAAAAAAAAGAAATTCTTTGAATGATAAATATATATGCAGTGAATTTTATATTGTTTTGTCCCTTGTTACATAATAAGAATATTATTAAGATAATTATTATACCTAAACCTAACGTAAATTTTATGTTAAAGCTATTATTATGTTTATGTTGAACTACAATTACAGTTATTTTTATAATCATCATGCATAATGAAAAATAGTTTTGAGCTAGTAATTTTTTATATATATTTTTATTTTAATTTTTATTTATCAAAAGGATAGTATGAAAAATATAACAGAAAAATATTTTTTCTTGAGAGATATGATTTTTATAATTATTATTACAATTATTATTCATTCATAGTATTTTCTTCATTTTGTTAAATTAAGAATACAAAAAAAATTTTTTTTTCATTATACTTAATCATGAATTATATTTGACAATATAATTATTTTTATTATATTTTTACTGTAGTGTCTAAATATATTTTAATATGATTATTTTTAAATAAATAATGCCGTTAAAATAAATATGGTTACTCTAAATATTTTAATGTTTTCTTCTTAGAATTCAATTATCATTAGTTTAATTATAATTTATTTAAAAACATTTATTATAACTATAAATGTGTTATTTTGATTATATTTTTTTCTTATTGTAAGGCCTTGTATAGTTGAAATATCATAATATGTCAACTCGTTTATATTAGAATTTTATTTACTTTAGGAACTTAATGTATTATATTTACAATATTAATGCAAAATAATGTTGATATATTAGTGTGTAATGTAATTCATTCATATCGAATCTTTAAACTAATATATAATATTACACAAATCGCTAAAGAACTGGAAAAAGAGTATAACTGTTACTTGTACTATATTACTAGAATTATATTATATTATGAAAATATCTAGATTAATATATAAAAACTATTTAAAATAATTTTTATTTAGATATATTTATTACTTATGATTATTTATAGTAGGCTGATATAGGTATGTAGTTTCTAGTGATTCCTACTTTACTTAATAATTTAAATAATGAACAAGCTAATTTATAATATAACTTCTTCAAATTATTTATAAATATCTTTAAAATTCGTAATTTATGACCAAATAAGTGAAATTTGATAAATTGTATTAAATGACATCTATAATAATTAATTAAAATTTATTATAACATTTATAACTTATGATTTTTCCATAGTATTGATTGAAAATGAAATTATCCAATTCAAATATTGTTCTATTATTCTTGAATTAACCTAATTCAAGAATGTAAATTATTTACCTTATTCTCTATATTTCACCATTGTAATGTTATACAAATAACTATTCTTACTGCTCATTTAAATAAAAAATACAGCGGTCTAGTTTAGTTAATAGTTCAATATAGTTTGTAGATTTATTTAAACTTTTTGTATTATGCAGAAATTATGATCAACAGTGGTGTTTGCCTTATGCGTATAATCATTGCTCCTAATTAGTTGGCTATATCTCTACCATAGATCCAAGGTATAATATTCTCCATTGTCTGTATGGTACCACAAAGGTGGATATTCATCATAGACCTTAAACCAGACATGTCAAACACACGGCCCGTGGCTAATTTTTTTTTTTTTTTTTTTGTGGACCGTGGCTGTCAATATTAATGGATAAAATAAAAAATGAAAAGTAAAAAAAGTTATAAAATATTAATGTTATGTCGTAACTATCTTAGATTTTTAGATAATGTTATATTTGGCATATATTTATCGTGTTTTATATTCTGATCAACTGTAATCGATTATGTTTATATATAATTTACATTTTTTTTTATCGTTAAATTTTTATGTGCTGTAAAATATTCAATATACTGGCCCACTTGATAATCTAAGTTTGACATGCCTCCCTATGATTTTTTTCGGTACAAAAAAGTGAACCATATGATATTTATTTAATGAAATAAATATAATATAATATAGTTTATATTTAATAATATATTTATATATAACCGATGAGTTAACAGCGCGACGAGTGATGCATTTATTTACTGCAACCAAAAATATTAAAGATAACAGGTAACACAGTAAAAATGTTTTCCAGTAATGGTTAGGGCTCGGAACTTGATGCACTTAAAAAGTACTAAATATGCATGTACTTATGCGTTTAAAAAAGTACAAATATACACATACATTTTTTTTTAACGCAAACATTTTCATAAATAAAAATATTTTACTAAATATAGTCATACATAACAACAGTATAAATGGTATTAGTATATTATACTAAGCTTAACATAATTTCTAGGTTAGAAAAAATAAAATTAAATAAATAGCTTACAATTTGAAATTTTCTTTCATAATTTTTCCATTAAATTATATATTTATCTGTAAAGCATAAATAAAAATTAGAACCCAATTCATAAGTTAGAAATACATTTTGTTTTAATGTATTGTTTTTTATATATAGTTGATGTGAATGCAATTTGAAATGTGTATCTCACATATAATCGATTCCTTAAATATGGATTCAGGAGGGGGGCGATCGTACCCTAAAATACTCCCTTGTGTCTTACTGTAGTGTTCTAAAACTATACATATGATCGAACGAAATGAATTTGCTTCGGGAACACGCACACCGGATCACGACGGATACGCGCAGAGAACCGGGCGACGCAGATCGCCGAGCGCGTGACCTGCTCCTGCGATCCTGGTACGAATGCACCCACTTCCACCCATTGAATACGATGTTGTAATAATAATTACAACATATAATAGTTATATATAAGATATGTAATATATTTTACCTGCAAGACTTTTGCTTTGATCCACTAAATATTTTTTAATGTTTTCAAAAGTTTATGGATGGCCGATTACCCGATTAATCAATTGCATTAATTAATTGCAATCAACGATGATCATTAAATTGTTACGATTAAATATAAATAAAAGTGGATATTTTGTCCAGTTTTATTTATATTTAAATAGATATTATTATTATAATATTTCCATTGTGTCAACCTGGGATTTGAGAATCATGATAGGTACAATATCGTATGAAAACTCTCAAAACAAATATTTTATTATTGCTAACATTGCTATTAAAAATGGCAAAATTAAGAAATAAGCGCTTAAAATTGCTAAACCACTAAATATGCCAAAATATGCATTATAAACTTTTCATATGGTTTTCGTTGTGCCATGAAAATAATTTCAAGTTTACTTAGCAATAAATCGAATAGCCCAATAAAAACATGCAAATGTAACATCTTCCGAGCCCTAGTCGGATTAGCTAACGGCGCTCAAGACGAAAGATACATATGTCGAGGAACTATTGCAAAATGAAATGATTGTTGACGTATTCGTATCAGCAGGTGTATGCCGTGATGTCCGCAAGAAACCCGTCAACCGTAATCACGGGCGGGTTTAAGGGGATGGCTAAGGGGGCATTATCTCCCCATTGGGACTAAGCTATCTATTTTAGAAAGAAAAGTATTATTTTACATAAATAATTATAATAAAATATCGCCAATGGTCATTGATAAATATAGTAACTATTTTATATATTTTTTTTATAAATAAATAGCTCACTTTTGTTGTTAATTATTTGTATTTAGCTATATTTTAAAATGGTTTCAGATTACAATTGATACTAATTATGTAACTATTTAAACTTTGTCATTATTGTGAAAAAAATGACTTACTTATGAGGGACTCAAAAACATATTCTGTAATTTAAAATTTTATATAGATTTAAAAAATCAACTAACTAAATTCTTAAACCTCCATTAGCCCCTCCCTTGGTTAATAATAAAACCTGCCCCTGACCGTAATCGTGCTTCGGTTCCTTCGTCCGGAAAACCGAACGACAAAAACCGGTGTACAATGCAACTTGATTCGCACAATATCAGAGAACAGTAAAGGAATTCCCCGTTTTACCTAGTCGAATCGATACGATCGTAATCGATTTAAAACATATAAAAAATGACAGCAGATATTCACCGCACCTTTGGGCTGAGACACCTTCAAATGAGCCAAGGACTACTAATGGTCCAGAATTATACCACCGTCATTTGAAAGATTAATTTTATAACCCATATCTATCTATTTATAATTTTATCGAAGTGTTTAAACAACCGAAGTTATAAAGGCCAAAGTTTACTCAAAAATGGAATCAAATGGGAGAAATACCACAAAACGGAGCTCTTAAGTCAACTCCAATATAATGAACATGTATACTGAAAAAAGATTTGCAGATTAGACTATTTGAAAAATGTTGGCTTCAAATTTAAAATTTAATATTAATATTTATTATAATATTAATATTAAATTTTAAATAATACTCATATAATATTATACCTACTACTGATATATCATTTCAATTTCAATTTTTTTAATTAATTTTATAATCACTAAAAGCTTAATAATTATATTATTTTAATGAAATACACTTCCTTTCTGTAAAATTAATTTGCACTTATGGGTTGTTAAAAAGGTAACTTTTTTTTTGCGCTTATAGGTTATTTATTTTTGCGCTTATGGGCTATAGCTACCAATATAGTCTTAGTGCGCAAATAGCAACCCGTATAGTCATGTGGTTTTCTCAGGAAACGGGTTGTTATTGACGAAAATTAAGACGGTACCGATTACGCATAGCCTTGAAGTATTGTATGTGCATGCACTTGTACAATTGTTTATCGTCAATGGCGGTTTGAAATATAGTTATAGTACATATTTAGTTATAAAATAACGTGAACAAATAGATTTCTATAAACAATTAATAAATTAATATGTATATATATGGGGACCCGCAAAATTCTGCACCAGGCTCCGAAAACCGGCACTGGTTCCACGACCAACCGGATGATCATCTTGTAGGATGTGCTCTACGTACTCCGACAATTCGAAGCGTTTGAACGTATCTCTTTTGACGGGTTTACCGAAGAACTGATTGAGCACTCCGCCTTAAACGCATCTATGACTCAGTTGAAGATTCCCTCGCGTATTCCTGCGAAATGTATACATTTCTGGCTGGTGTTACTACTGTATTTGCCAGCACCACGTCGACTACGTTGGGTCGCATGGACCTTGGGTTCGTGTACGTGGTCTGGATCCGTGCAAGCGGTTGCTCAAGTAGTTTTCGATCTCCTTCTTATTCTTCTTTTGTTAACAGCCCAGAATTTGATTGGCAGCATTCCTCTAATCTTCACGTTTCTCTACTTTTCTTTTTAATTCATAATATGTTTCACAGCCGAGATCCTCGAATTAGGTGGTCTTCTTACTGGCTATTCTTCCCTTTTATGGATTCTTCTATTATTCTATCTAGTAGATTATCGTGTGGCAGTGTATATCCAATAAGTTAAGTTCTTCTAATCTTCCGAGATTTTAGGAAGCTTCTCTTTTTTGAGTTTTCGATCATCAGTGCGAATATTCAATGTTACATTAATCAAAAATAACACAAATCATAATTTTAATTAGGCAGTGTTCGTTACATTTCTGTACATTACTGATACTGTACAATACATTTCTGATTGTTTTGATGTTCCAAGACAAAACATGATTTTACTCACTACTAAACAGGTTACAATGCCCTCAAATTCCCAAATTAAACTGTTATACACAAAATATTTTATTTTATTTTTATATAATAAATGATTATTTTCCAATAATAATATCTAATTATTAAATTATATATTAAATTAGATTCAAATTGTCTTCTTTTTATGACCGTCTAAATTTTTCCTATGCGTACGATACAATTAAGCTTGTAATTTCAATGGAACATCATAGATTTTGTAAATATTGTAAACATCAAAATATCATAAATACTCAGATTTCTAAGCATTGTGTTTTTGAAATGTATAACACGGGGATTGATATTCAATGGTACTCAATGATTTTGTATTTAGTAAAATCATTATGTGAACGCTGTGTTATAGCTGAAATCAAATATGGATTAGTCGTTGCCACTAAAAATTATTTGTCCCCCAGACCTGGATGCTGCTTTATCGATTTTTTAGTACATATATATATGCAACAGACATTTTCGCGTGGGGTGCCGTATGATATAGGGGTGACGGTATCCTAGCAACAAAAATATTCATCTTAGCTGTAACTGCCGATAACGATTGAAACGGTTGATGGTTATTGTGCCCATGTTGGCATTACTGTTTATTGAATAAGAAATCTTATTTAAACACAAATCGTACATGGTACGTAATAAATATATACGCACTATATATATATATATATATAGCTATGAGCGGTAATGTGATATATCTCTTTACAGTTTCAATTGTTTGCGAATAACTTTTTCCCGGGAAGGGGGCTATAAAACTTTTCCATTTTTTTTTTCTAAAAAATTAGTTTAAAAACAATTAATAATTATATTAATAGTTCTTAAATATATATATATATATATATATATATTAATAGTAGATAAAAGTACTTAAGATAGCATTCTGCAACAGAAGCACTGGTCCAGTATACCCGGGTTAAATATTGTAAAATATTTTTTATTGTAACCGTACAATTATGGTAATCTTTTTTCGAGGAGATTTGGGGGTGAAACCCTAATTTTTAGTTAGGATTTTAAGGGTTCGGAAAATTATTCCATTCTTTTATTAGGTAAACAAACAAAATTTGTCGTAGATCAAAACTATTCGTTCCCCGTTCTGTCATACATTTAAAAATGGTAACCTACTAGTTCTGATTATCTTAGGCAAGTTCATGTAATGTTTTCGATTCATTTCGATATCTAGGAATCTGAAACAACCGATTTGGTCAGGTGCTTACGCAGCTCCTATTTTGTTGTCGAATGATTTTTTACGATGCCGACCGATCATAATGGTCCACTCGCACTAATGGTAATCATTTATTTAGCGATCGGATGCAACGAACCGTTCGCCTACGCGCAACCCCTTATGAATCAAGGGAACGATGTGACATTCTACATAGGGCACCGGTCGGTCGGCGGAGATCGCACGACGGTTTTCATACAACGCAGGAGGGGCGAGAGCAGAATATCGATCGGTTCGGTAACGTTACGCGCCGGTAAGTGCAACGGCGATAACTTTGAACGTTAACGGTACGAGCGAAGCGACGACAAGAGGCGTCGAGCGTTCGTTATGACGTCGCGCGAACCACGCGTACTTATGTACGACAACAACGGACCGTATCGTCTTTTTCGAAAAAAAAAAAAAACGTTTGTCCGTCGCGTATTTATAACGCACCGAAAGCGCCGGGCACGAGTTGTCCGCCGAGCGTATATTTATACGACGTTCACTCCCCGTCCGCGCGCGTATTTGATTATGACACAAGCGCGCGTCGTCGATAGACCAAATAAAAAGCAAATAAAACTTTTTGCGTTCGCCGACACCGGACGAGACGATGTTTATCGTTATTCTTTTCCCTGTTCGTCGTTATTATTGTTATCATTGCTGCTGTTGTTGTTGTTGTTGTTGTTGTTCCGTGCTCGCGTAACTCTACCCACGCGCGTATCCTTCGACTGGACGTAAATGGAAACGTTCACACGCAGACGCGCCCGCGCACTTCAATCGCACGCCGCCGTGCCCCGTCCACCGCACACAAAACGATAAGTGGCGGCGGCCGAGTTATTTTCGTTGGGCGTCGCAGCAGCAGCTAACCTAACCGCCGACGTCCCTGCCGCGCGCAGCACCGCTACACCCCTGTCACCGTCCGCCGCGGTCCCTGCCGCGCGGCAACGCTACTACACCCCTGTCATCGTCCGCCGCCGGTGCCGTACCGTGCGCGCGTGCGAGTGTCGGCGGCAGCGTGACTCGGATGACGACCGTTTAAATCGCTGTCGCGACGTCACTGCTTCAGCTACGGCCGTCGGCGTTGCACGTTCGTTGTTCCGCGTTTCCGCACTTTCGGCAGCGGCTTCGGGCGACCGTCACGCGATCGTATATCGACTCGTGTCGAACGTATCACCACCGCGAGCGGCTGACCAAGAAGAACGCGGCGTTTGAGTGAAGGAGAACGAAAAAAAAAAAAACCAACAGTCCTAGTTGATCGCGAGCACGTTTTCCTACGCGCACGGGCTCGCACCCTCGCGCGCACGCGTTTATTTACGGACGCAAACAATCGACTACCGGCACCGGTCACGTGCTAGCCCTTTATCATCGGTAACCAAATATCGAAGGCGGTTACCACCACATCCGAGAGCGCCGGCGGTGGCGCGAACCGGATGATTATGCTGGTGACGCCGACGGACGTCGTGGACCGACCCGAACAGAAATGCGAAAGCGACGCGGAAAACAGCGGGGGTGGCAAGAAGCAACGCAAGCGGCGGAACCGTCGGAACCGCGGTCAGCGACAGCGTACCGAGGCCCAGGAACCGCTGCAGCAGGCCGGTGATAGCGAAGACGGTGATGGTGACGACGGCGGCGACGGTGGTAGCCGCGCGCGACCACTGAACGTGGCCACCGACTCGTCAACGACCGCGGAGTGAGTAACACACGTATTAGTTTGTCGTACGCCATTGTAATTTTTTCGATACCGGGATCTCGGTGTGTGCATGCGTACGATGGTACTCGCGAAAGGCGCGTTGAGATTTACGTAGTAATAAGCTACGGAAGTTTGAATGAAATAAGGAACGGTAATAATAGTACGTAGATTCAGAGGACGTGCAACGCGTGCGCACGGTGGTCGGCGAGTGATGTTGTAAACCGGGCCCTACTAAGACTTAAGAGTAAGGGGCCCATATTTAAAACTGATGTCGCTCGAATTGAATACGATTTATTCTCGAATATTTGGTAAAAAAAAATAGATGACACTTCGCGATAGAAAAAATAAAACTAAATTATCTAAAGTTTCGTGTAAAAACTTCTTACGATAATATAATAACAGCTACGGCTGACCGTAAAAGTATAAATCATAAATAATTAAAGCCGTCTGAGAAAAATATACGAGATTCAAGGAAAACATGTTCATCGAAATTGATATAGCGCTATATTAAACAGGACATTTAAGTTATGGTTTTTTTTAATTATTTATTCATAATAATTTATTAAACATATCTACGCGTTTTGTTGATATACGGTACAGAAGTACAGTGGCGTCCCCTGAAATACAGATCTGCGCATGCGTCAATCTTCGGAAGAACGCCACACCCGCATGTGTTGTCTCCGTCCGGCAAACGTACAGCACAGCGAATTCGCGTTCAAATGTAGTGATGTTAGCTTCAATATTAAATCGATCAATAATCAAACTCCAAGGGAACAACTTTACCTGTGTTTTGTTGATATTTTAATTTTTAAGCGAGTTATGATTGTGTAATGTTTTACAGTTAAAAAGAAACCTGTAAAATACGATTGAGAACGTTATTTTTGGTAACACGATTGAGAACGCTCGAGTTTTTTTCCCCACGTTGCTAAACATTATCGATTGATAATATGAGCACGATAATCTGTTGATATTTATCGGACTTTTATCGGATTAGCTGGATGTTAATAGTAACTTAGATACAGTGCCGACGTTATGATTTGCGAGGCCCTGTGCAAATTATAATCGCGAGGCCCTGGATCTGAATATACTACAAAATAGAAGCGTGAGTCCCACGAGCCAATCTAAAAGTGCGAGGCCCTGTGCGATTGCACTTTCTGCACACCCTCGCGCCGGCATTATGCTTAGATATCAGATACGAGAGAATGGCGGTTAGGCTTTGCAGTCATCGCAAAAACTATTCGTCAATATATTTTATAATTTTATAAGTTTAAAAATATATAATAATTTTAAAAATATTTGAAAATTATTTTATACATATACACGCTATACAGGTATTATAAATTTTTATTAGTTCTATATATTTTACAATTTTCTCATTTATTTTTATAATTATTCATTTTTATACATATATATTTCATAATTTTATAAATTACACTATACAGGTATTAGATATTTTTATAAGTCCTACATATTTTTAATTTTTATTCATATGATATATTACATATTATTTTTTCAAAAATATTTATTGTATGTATACTGAATTTTTCAAAAGACAAATAAATGATATGGCAAACTATAGAAACGTTGCACATAAATTCGTTCTCAATCGTATCGTTTATTGGGTTAGCGGTAAGTTCTTTATTAATTTTAAGTGTTCTTAATCGTTCGGCCAAAAAGATACAACGTTCTCAATCATTCAATAGCCAATGAAACTCATTACTCGCTTAGAAATTAAAATATTGGGAAAAACTTACAAAAAAAAAAAAAAAAACACAGATTATATTTTCCCCTAAATGTTATATTATTGGCCAGTTTATTCTAGTATTAAGACTTACATCATTAAATACTTCTTCACTTCAGTACTTTTTAATGTTATATAATATTATACATCTGAACTGTGATGATAATATTTTGAGATTTACTGGTCGTGATCGAGTTTGATTATGTTCCTGCTGTATACGAATTTTTTCATTGGGCGCAGTACGAATAAAATTGCATTGAGTATACTTAGGTATATTATTCGATGAACTTCGTAGAAAATTAGTTACGAGTACATCGAGACTGCATAATAATGGGTATTGAAATACCTTGTGCATAATTTCGAAGGAAATATTATGTATAATCGTTTTATAAGTTGTACAAAAATATTATTGTGGCGCATATCCGCGGACAGAAATTACAATAAATGTTACTTTTTTTAATATGCAGTTACGTGCTATAATAATCCTCCGAATTGGAGTTAGTCTTAAATAATACATTTAGAATGCACGCGTATGTCCATTGCCCTTCTCGTTAGGGCCGGCGCTAGAGCGCATTATTTGTGCCCTGAGCAATTCAATATTTTGGTACTTACCTCTCACCTGTATTTTTCAATACATTATTGAAGCATGGGGTAGTCAGCTACTTTTTGCAAACTTTCGTCCCCTTCATCATCAAAATGTTTAATATTATCATGATAATAAATAACCATATTAAGTTCGACCACTTCGACACGTTCGTAAACAGTAAAATGTAAGAAAGACAGATGTTATTATTTAATAATCAGATTTATTTGTCCGACAATATTGAGTTGTATTATAAATAAACATGTGTCAAAAATTATTGAAAAATTCAATAAAATATTATAATATAATAATGTTATTATTTACTATTCAATAGTGTATTCAAAATGAATGTTTTAATGTCTGATTTGTAATATTCACATTTGTCTCAACAATTAAAAATAATAAAAAAATTAATTAAAATATTACATTATCTATAATGTTATGAGCGATTACCATTTTAAATGGTAACTATGAACGACTTTCCCTATAATTTATAATTGTTTTAATACGTTTTTTCTCATTCAGCCTATTCTCTACGAGTTGTAGTGTGTACTCTTCCACACATTAAATCTTCAGCTGTCCGTTTTATTTGAATTTGCTCTTTCTTCTATAATTGTATAAACACCAACATGACATTTTCCAATAAGAGTTTAAAAACACCTTTGTTAACTCTTTACGCGATTTGAGTTCTAGGAATTCCTGATTCCATTCGTTCAAGTATGAACAAAAATGTTGGTGGAAATAAAGGAGCTGTTCGGTCAAATCAGTTAAAATTAATTGAGGATTTAAATCTAATTCATTTTTAAATCATTTAAACTTTCAAAAGATAAGTATAACATTCTCGTGTTTTAACATAATTTAAAATAATAATATTTTTAATAGAATTTGTACCTACTATATTCGTACCTATAATTGCACTGTACTGAACTTAAATGTCGCGTCAAAAACCTACGGTCGTCTATACAATTATATTGACAGCCTATCGGTTTATTTGGGAATGAAAATCTTATCGTAATAACTAAAGTTCATGACCTAAAACAAAATAACACTTTATTTATTTACTTTATTATTTTATATAAGATTTTACTAAATACTTAGTACCTTTTCACGTAGAACGATATTATCGATGAAAAAATATTCGTTTGATTTTGGTTTTTTTTTTTTTTAATTATTCTATATTAATTTAACGTACTAATAATTAATTAGAATAAAAAATCGTTTATTAGTATTACACACAATAAAAAAGTGTAAAATGTATTATCGAGTAAAAGTAGTATCGGGCAAACATACCATACCCGTTGATAGGTTATAATTCTAGTAGAACAGCCATATTCAATAATTTTTTCAAAGCCATTTAATCATTTGTAGTTATACGGGTAGCCAGTTGCTCATGTGAGCGTTCCTTTTTAGAGCTCAGTATCGTAAAATTAAAATTACGAAGCACAATGAGGCAAGACATATTAGATGGACTTCTAATCATGTTCATTGAGCAAAATATTGCATATAACATAGATGTAGATGAAGTGATCGAATGTTTTAAAATCAACATAACAGCCCAAAGATGTTTGGAGTTCTAAGTAACCTATGTTTTTTATATAATATAGTTTTGCTAATTTTTTTATTTATTAATTAAGTTATATTACGTTAATACATTATAAGTTGCTATTACATTATTATTTATAAAATACTTTTTTTTTACTACGGTGAACGCCGTTGGATGAGGATGTCTTATCCAATTTAGTTATTAAATGTTGATTTGTTGTGTATGACTTCCCTGCCAGTAAAGTAAGTACACGCTAATAGAAGTATATATTATACTATAGCTTAGATTTAGGTTGCTCACAGGTTCGATGGTAAGAACGCTGACTTCAAGGGTTATTGAAAATTCAAATCCCTGTAAAAATTAATATTTGATTTCTTTACGTACGTGTCTTCGTTATTATTTTTCATTGTCAGTGTAACATTCAGTTTTTTGAAGAAACAATACATACGATATTTATATATACGATAATAAACACAACGCAACGGCATCGTATATCATCGTATACTATTTTCGTGTATTTTTGTATGATACACACATTTTTTATAAGACGGAATTGATAAAAACCATCATGTATGTGTATATCTATATATATAAGAGTGTATAATTAATATATATATATATTAAGGTTATATATTAAGAGGGTTCTTATTTTTGAACATTGGAAATTTGTTTGTTGGACCCCCGACTTTCTTATATTACAACAAAAAAGTAATTCGGGTAAAATTTGGTCGAAATAGTTCACCCCCTTCCCGTGCCATGAGAAGGTTGAAAAATTCCTTAATATGGTAATTTTATATTTTTTCGAGTTTTATTTGAAAACTGCATTATTTAATACAAAAATATACATAACCTTAATAGTAGGACAAAATATAGTCTATAAAAAACTATTTAACAATAATTCTTTAAGTCCATTATTTTCTTCGAAAAGTAGTAAAATATTAAAAATATTGTTAATTATATATTAAATATACATACTATACATATACGTGTGTTTAATAATCTGTATTATTCCAAAACTATTCTAAATTATTGTAAAAAAAAAAATTTAAACTAATACTTAAAAACATTGATGACAACAGGGGTTCATGACAGAAAGGCCAACTATTACAAGTCTTTTAGTTTTCCAACATTAT